AATCAATGTACCCAACATCTACTCTCCTCAAATTTCTTAGACATGAGGACTAGGTCCTTACTGATCATGCACTGATAACAAATGATCATTGTCTATGTTTTCCATTGTGTTTTCTCCTGGTAGGAAGGCTCAGCCCAGGACCACGAGCTCCTTTTGTTGCTGGGTTACTGGGCATTCCAGCACCCAACTGATAGCACCTGGGGTTAAGAAATCAAAGTGCCACACTAAAGAACACACTGGTCATCAAACATCTGCCGTTTTCTTGTCAGAAGTGAGACTTTTGGCAGGAAGACCTTGTCAGTAATCAATGCTGGCAGTCTGAGCACTTGCAGCAAGACAAAGCAGTAGCAGAATGAATCACTGAGCGCCCAGTGACTTTGTAGGCAAACTGTAGAGGAGTGTTGTTTACCAAAACATTTGGGTTACAGCATCTCTTCTCCTGCCCTAACCCTCTAGGTTGCACCATATGTAAAAGGATACCTACCTATGATATATGCCATGTTTCTCCTTTCTTTCCAGCAAGATGCTGATTGGAGGAATGACGTAGACCTGAATTAGCTAGATATTGGTGGGGGTTATTTTTCTTTTCACTGAGTTTTCAACGTGTGATACAAAATTTATGAAGAATCTGTTAAAGCAAAAGCAGAAACAAGCTTCCCCCTCCCAAATTATGCTATTCATGATTAAACGGATTCTTTTTTTTTTTAAATATTTATTTTTTTAAGTGAAATGTGTTTGATCATTGAAAATTAATGAATAAACAAAGACTTGATGGAAATGTGTGGGCCTTTTCAAATCTTAAGGGTTAGTCCAGCATGCCCCTACACCATGCACACCTACTTCAATACTGTAGTGATTTATGGTAGTGAACCTGCTAGATGATTTTCTTTCTATAATGAATCAACAATGCAACGATGTTGATGAAAATAATAGCGTGGATTTAAGTTTTGTGTAGGCATTTCTAAAGGGATATGGTTTTTGGGGGGGGTTAAATGTACTCTACAGCAACCTGATCCAAACCAGGGTGCCTGAAAGCAGATTCGGACATACCATGTTACAAACCATTGGCTGGATTGCTCAAGAAAACAGTGAAATCTTGCCAGATCAATTTATTTTCTGTTTCCTAAAATTCTAGATAAGGAACTGATGTATGAAAATCCATGTAAATAATATGGACCTGATGTGACACACTGTGAGCTGAACCAGCCATAGCAGGGTTGTGAATATGTGATTTTAGTCCCCAGAACTGTGAATACACCTTGGATTCATGGACTTCTGATGTGGTGCTGCTTGGCTTTCAATATATGATGTAACAGTGTCTGTAAATAACCTACTACTTCTTAAAAATATTTACAAACTGCAATTAGAGATTGCTAAAAATCAGGCAGTGATTTCTGTTTGGAAGCATACTAAGGAAAATCCAACTGGATGGAATTTACAGGCACAAATCCAAGACACTGTCATTTATACTATAGGATCAAGTATGTCATGTCTATAATCAGGGCACGTTAAAATTGTTTGGACAATTCATTCACCAGATGGAGCAAGAAAACCTGTCTGAAACTGTGCAGATATTTGTCTTAATAACACCAGGAATATAACCAGTACCACGTTATGCTTCCCCAGCACCTAGGGAGCTTAGTACTTCTCACTAAAATAAAAGTTTATTGTATTTACATTACTGGTCTTGCTTTGATTTGATGCTTAATTTGGTGGAATTATTCAGCATGAATATTAACCAATTGAAACCAGAATATGGTTCAAGAACCAAAGTTATATCTTTTTTGATGCTTTTGGCAGCTCACTCCTAACACTGAAAAGTAAATAATGATTATGATGACTGTTGGGAGGAAGTATGATAACTGTTTAAGATTCTCAGGAAAAAAGCTACCATAAAATTAAACTGAACATTAGAAAGGCTGGCTTCTATTTCCTTTTTAATCCCTACCTCAGCTGCTTAGATATTTTGATGAATCTAGCCCCCAATCACTTCAGCCATGAGGAGGAGTTTTTATCTAAAGCATCAGCAAAAAAGATGATGTTTCTATCAAAAACATGATTAAAAAAGGTGGAGTTCTTGTTCTCTCCAAATTTGTTTAGTGTGAAATGGGATCAGGAGCATGCAGGTGGCTTTGAGGGGGAACCAGATATGTGAATGAAGGCAGAAGACAGGTGATGAATGACTGAACACACAAGTTGATAAAATGGAAGTTTATAACCACTAAAGCATTTGACTGCTCCAGAAAATCATCTGGAATTAGCTACATTTCCAAGTTTTGCCAGCCTAAAGGCAAAAGCTATTGCATCTAATGATGATTCAGGTTATTTAGAGAGAAAGGCTGACTTTTTTAATGAGGGTAAAGTGCTCATTATTGTATGCAAACGATACAAATTATTGTATGACATGTTTAGAGTAAGTCTTACATTCTATAGCATCTACATTAAATTTATGAAGCATGAATTCCCTAGCAGTGCCCTCTTCTGCTGTGTTCCTGTCCTAGCCTGCAGCTAACCTCAGTAGTGGGAATTTTTAACAATGAATGCACAGTGGTAACAATATGTAATTAATCTTTGAATTTAAGCACATCCCCAAGGCTTTTGAAGTCAAATACAGGTCTAAGTGATTTGCAGAACCATAGCTATAGTGCCTATGAAATAGAACTGGAGGTAGATTTCCCTTACAAAAATAATCATTAAAAGGGAATGCAAACATGTACCACACGTATAAGAAGAATTAAATCCTACTCAAAGTCAACAATGAAGTTTTTGTAGGGTCTTTTATTTTCTTTGTTGATGATGGAATTGCTGGCCAATGGGTTATTCCAAAACGTGGAAGACAGTAGAATAAAACTCAATCACTGCTGCAGATACCATGTGCTATTGCCTTCAGAAATAGGCTGAACATCCTTCTTCCACCACAACTGATCTGTATCTTGTACTAAATACTTTATTTTTAAATACGTCGTGGACTAAAGATCTGGATGGAGAATTTGGCCCTAATGGAATGATGTTTAATAGTTTGAAACAGTAAAATAGGACATGGAAAATGCTTAATATGGACCACAGTCTAAATGCCACAGAGATTTCAATATGGTGACATAACCATACCATGATCTAACTTCTTCACAATAGCTCTCTCTTTACAGGATATGTGTGCACAGATACTGAGTATGTCTGGTGTAGATCTGCATAGACTTATGAATTTCATTTCTTTTTATAATTTCTGTGTGACTTTTCTGTTGTTGGATCTGTTTGGATAAACAACACTCCACTCCATAACACATACATAAATGCAAGTTCAATTTATACACACCCATTTATAAAATTGCAAAAAAATATGAAGAAAAAAAATAATGGCAGCGAATGAAACAGAAAATATGATGTTTTCTCTTGCTTTTGGTGGCTAACTATACACATAGGAAAAATATCAGTAAAAACCCAGTCACCATATTGATCAAAAATGACAAGGATGTTTTATAACCTAATTAAATCACTCAAGTCTATGGCATGCTTTGCTTCATAGGTGAGAGATGTGCAGCAGCCACCAAACATGCACTTAGGTTGTAATCAGAACTAGCTCTGCACATCTTGGGTGCTAATCACCATCTCAGATTCAGTGGTTATCTTCCCAGCAGCACATACGTGGGAAGTCTTCATGCAAACCTAGGCAAACCATGCATACAATTCATCTATTCACTACACTTCCTCCTGAGGTTTAATCCTGAGATGTATCCAGCTGCAGAATGAGTTTAAAGCTTTAATTTTGGCTGTGAAAATAGTTGAGAGCCAACTTCAAGCACAGTACTTTCAATAAGTGGATGTCCCACAGAGATGAAAAAGGGATGCATAAAATTTGAACATTTCATGTACACATAAACAAGACTATAGGAAAGAAGTGAAGAAAAATAGGCTGCTGGAAAACATCTTTTTCCCTGAAAATTGTCATACAGATGGATAACATCATCCTACTGTGACTGTGGCTACTTAGGCTGAAATGGATCACTGGAGAATTTTTTTAAAGTATTAATATAAAAGATCTCCTAATTAACCTCTTAATTAAAATAAATATCTCCTTATTTACCCCAACATCTTTGATTTTTATTTAAGGTTTATTTGGCTTGCTTTTTTTCACCAGGAATCCAATGTTAAATAAAATAGTCTTACCTATGTTAATCAGTGCTAGAAATCACTAAAGCTCACAAAAAAATTGCAAAGCAAATGTGAATGGTGTTTTGGCTGAAAAGCCAAAAAAACCCAAATGTACCACAGCATAGCCTAGTCATTAAAAATAATTATATAATTTTACTATGGAAAACGACTACATGCACTTAAAATGGAATGAAGACCATCCTAAATGGCTGATCACTGTCCTCTAATAAGGTGGAAACTATCAAAAAGGATGTTGGCTTTCAAATAATATAAATCAGGAAGATTTAAGGCTTCCAAAGGAAAATTTTAGGATTTGCTGTGCATTTTTAAGCAATTCTAGGCGTGTGTGGAGATTGTTTCACTTAAGTGGCAAGCATTCAAGGCTACAGGCAACACAAACATAAGCAACATTAGGAGATCTTCCTAAATTAGGATTCAGTCTAAATTTAATGAAATCTTTCCCCTATTGCTTTCAATGAACTTTGGACCATGTCCTTGGAACGTATGAAGCACAGCAGACTGTCCCACAAATAAAATCATAATTATGCCTGATCAGTAGATTAATTTCCAGTCAACTGACTTCTAAAAAAGTTCTGTGGGTTTTTAAAAAGCTTGTAATTATGGGATTTTTTTTTTAAGGCTTCTGAAAGAAGGGTGCAAATTGGCATTAAAATGCATTTTAGTAGCTTTTGGATTAAAAAAAAAGGTTAAAAACAACCAAATAAATTTAATAAATCCTATGACACTTTTTGAAAATCAAATTACTTTAGCTGAAGCATGCTCTTGACTTTGTCTTTTTTCCTATGTGTATGTTAGAAGTCTAAATTAATTACTGCTTTGTTTGTACTTACAAGTAAATGCTGGACTCGTTGCCCCCAATATCAGGTGACTGGAGTTTCTGCACGAGTATCACAATTATGCCAATAAAAAGCACAAAGTTTATCTAGGGGAGAAAGAAAGGGAAAAATTATGAAAATAAGATATTTTTTGAAGTATGAGAATGAGACATTCCCAGTGACCTGTTGGCTCTGTTGCCTCATTCTTCTCCAATTGCAGCCTAGAAGTTTCACAGAGTCAGGAGTAATGGAATAAGTTCACAAGTGCCTTATCTCTCCTTTTCCAGGTAAAAATATTACTTTTACAGCATCTAAAGTGAGCAGAATTTCTTCAGTCCTGAGCCCCAGATCAGACAAAAATAAGTGAAAAGTTTTCAACTTTTTAGTTACTGATCAGTGAAAAGAATAAAAAGAAAGATCCTTGCACATCAAAACTATGTAGCAAAGATCTCAACAGTAAAAACATCTTTATCCCCATTCTCTGAACTAAGGAATTTCTCAGTTTAGCTTCATCTATAAGTCACAATTTAGTGTCTCCCCTTTCCTGGATATCCCAAGTTGTGTCACTTTTCTTCTGCTTGGCTGAATCTGTCCTGAGATGAGAAGATTTCTAATGTTTTTGGGAGGAACAAGGGGGTGTGTGTAGAGGGGTGTTTAATGTTCTTCATGTCTTTTAGTTTTAGGTCATGCTGGACATCATCTCTTTTATAGAATTATGTAATTACAGATGCAGTTTTAAAAATTTGGAGGCTAATAAACCCATTTTAATTCAACGCTTTGGCTGCCATCAACTCCATAGCTTCTTAATGTCAGAAGAAAACAGTGAGGAATTTAAGTTGGTCCTTTCTGCAAGCTTTTGTTCCTGTAGTGAGACCAAGAACTTAAACTGGATGTGAGCTTCTCTTTCAGAAGAATTTTCTATCTGATCTGAGGACTACAAACGAATGGAGAAGACAAGTCATCCTTTGCTAGCTGCTTGAATCTTTAATGCCTTCAGAAGCAGTCAGATACAACTGGTTCTTCAAAGCTAGAATATGATCCTTCAAAAAATTTGTCTGTAAAACATGGAAATTCATATACATTGATATCACAAAAAAAAAAAAAAAAGATAAATTCTGTGATTCTCTCTGAATCACAGAATCAAAGAAGCAGGTTGGAAGGTACATCAAGGATAATCTGATCCAACCTTTTTTTTTGGAAAAGCACAGTCCAAATAAGATGCTACTGGACCTTCTCCATCTTGATGCACTTCAGTGCTATTAGCTGAGTTACCTTTAATGTGTCTAATGGTTACTGGACTTTAGAGATCTGTCCAAATATTTAAATGGAGAAGCACCAAACCTGATGAAAACACCTACATGTAGATAGCTAGCTGTGAGCTGAATGTCTGAATTCCCACAGCAGTCCATGTAGATCCAGCCAAAACTGTCACTGCAGTATGGAGAGCAGCTGAGCATCCCCAGAATCAGACACCTAAATGTGGTAAGCCAAACAGCTTCTCAGGTGCCACTAACCATATTGTCAAGTGCATCAATTTTCCTCACTGGAGGAGCCCAACAGTCTTAAAATTTCCATTTTCTTTTGGGGCAGCAGCTGAAGCCCAAATATGGTACTTTAGAATCTCTCAGTCATCCATACACAGGTATCTAGCATCATTTCAGTCAAAACCAAGACCTCTATCAACTCAAGACAGCTTAGATACTTTGCTGACAAATTAGTATCTTGCATTATGCCCACAACAGTGTTTAAAGCTAATGTTAGATACATAAATGTAGCTGTGAAATTAATTCCACTCCACAAACACTGTCCAGTTCCTCAGTCACTGGCATCTTGTTTTGTTTTTGATGCCCTGCGTTGTCCCACTTGGCCTTCAGCTGCCACCCCAAATGGCAAGGGGTTCCCACACCCCCTAGGTCATATCTGCCAGCCCCAGGCAAATGCTCTATATGCTTTAAGGTCTTAATTATGGCTTTTGGTGTCTTTGCTTAAGCAACTGAGTAACTGCTTGTCTACACAGTCTTTGGTTGTAGGCAGTGCACCATCATTTAACTTCTACTAAACCTTCTCTACACAGAATTACTGCACGTTGTGGATGGCAAGTGGTGGACCTTCAGACAAGCTGTCCAGTGGTCCCACACAGCTGATGCAACACTTTGGAAAGCCATTTGAAGCTCTTTGCATCCCTTTTTTGCCCTCAGAAGTGTTGAAGAGTTGTTCCAAGTGCTACTTACCATGATGGATCCAACCACAGGACCCTTGATCACCCACCACAAGGCAGTGTTGTCATTCATGTCCCAGCAGCTGCAGCCATTAATGAAAGAATGGGGTTGGAAAAGAGAAGAAAAGAGGAAGATGTAACAATGAAATTGATAAAACAATTTTTAAGGAGCAGAGAGTGAGAGAGAGTTCTTGTAGCTCAATTATTTTGGGGTGGGAGGTTCAAAGGTGCCAATTCTTTAGTTTGTCCATGTTGTAGCTTTATTTTACAGCCTTTACTCAACTTGTGTGATAGTAAATATCTTTTTGTGGCAATTTCAATGGTACCTATATCTAAACAGTTTAACCATTTTGGAAAATGTGTGTTTCTGAGTTTACAGACAGGACAACTGTAAAATTGTCCCTTCAAGCAAAAGGGGAAAAAAAGGCAGAGTTATCTTGAAGGGTAAGAGATGATTATTCCAAAGTTTGATGCCTCAGTTATTTTTCCAGGGTAGAGAGATATGAATATTGGTTCCTGACACTGACATGAGGATTCTTAGACATATCTAGTACACAAGGATGTACTGGAAACTGGTTGTGTTTACACAGTGGAATGATTTTCCACTCATTGCCTTGCAAGTCCTACCAAGAAGCAAGGATCCACCTAAGAATGTTCAAGTAATGGACAATGATTAGGGTCAGCTCCTTTATTAAGCTGTTGGGAGTGAGTGATCACAAATAAAATGGCATTTCTATCTCAGCACTTAAAATCTTCCTCCAGATTCACCAAATAATTCTGCTGATTATTCCCTATGGATGCATTTGGACGTTCATTTGTAAATAAACTGATTACAGGACTAATATCTCTATGGGATTTTAACATATATTTTTAAAGCTAGAGAAAACAATAATAATGGAAAAAAAAAAATTATTTCCCCTGCCACACCACCCCCACTACACTATTTTAAGTCATTAACAAATTGATTTTCAGTTAAAAAATGTCTCTTATTTGTCTCCACTTTCTTCCCTTCATGCTTCCCTCTGGAAAACATAAAATTACAGAAAAGATGCCTACTTTGAACCTGCAGTTCTGAGGAGGAGGGTTTCCCTCCCACTGGGACAACAGCCAAAAGTCCCAGCAGTGGTTGTCATGGTGCATTCGTCAGATGCCAAGAAACTTTTGGAAGAGTGTGCAGGAATAAACCACTGCTGATCTTACAAGAGCTTAATGCTTCTTCTGTGTCATTTAAATGGCAGTCTGGTAGCTTCTGGGGGAAAAGTTAAAAACTCTGCTTTAAATAAAACTAGATACATGTGTAAGTGTGAGGAAACAGAGCTAAAAATCCATCAAAGCCTGTGTAAGAGAAATCCAAGCAGCTGATATCTGGTTTAGAAATTTGGGTTGAAGTTACCTATGCAATATTTTACTGACTTCCCATAAAACCAACAACAAGTATGCATGTGGCAGAGATGGTGAGAAGAGAGAAAACTTAGAGTTGAGATGTCAAGCTTGCAAAAAATCTACATATTTTTGTGTCTATCTACAAAGCTCAGAAACTTAAAATCCCCCCAAATTGATGGGACTGGTAGCTGAGATTTTCAAAAGTATTTTTTTTGAGTCACCTCACTTTGGATGCCCAAAAATATTTAAAAGGGGACAAATGTTCAGAGCAAACTCCTCCTCATGCAGTTTGGAAATCAGCCTGTCCTCAGTTATCAACAATTGTATGCCACAAAGCAAAATTACCTAAAATCACCAATAAACTTTTTAATCCTTTGTATGTATTTATAGATCAGGTGCCTTCTTCTGAACTTTACTCACTCTTTGCAGAGCTCGACCCCTTTAAAAGGTACATGAGATCTACCCTGGAAGTCTTTACTGAGTTGATCTGTGCTGGAAGAACCTAGGTTAATTCAAATATTAATCTGGCTGTACAAACAAGCATTGATATGGCAATTTGTCTCTGCAGAAATGAGAAATTATGGAATCTATCTCCTGTTCCAGTCATCTATATTGAAGATATCTACAACCCAGCTAATTATCCAGAGTCTGGCTGGGACAAATAGACACTTGGAGGTTGGTAGGGTCTTTATTTTCTTCACTGATGTATTGAAAATAGGTACACTGGGGTGATACATCATCTCTTTCAAATGCTTTTTCTTCATACACCTATTCCCATCCAGCACATGTCCCCAACAAGCTCTGTTGTCAGTGTCTATTTTGTAGATGTCAACAATGAATCAGATCAAGCTCATACAATTTTTTTTCAAGGACTTTTTTTGTTCTAGTCCCTGTGACATCTAAAGGGTGGATGTTGTGGAAAAAAAATTATCTTCTCTTCAGATAAACATGACCAGAAGGAAAAAGAAAAGCAAAGCACAACAGGATGGTCTGTAATATCAACCAAGGAGAGACTCCCTAATTTCTTCCAAATGCAATGCTATAGTGGAGGTTAGACACACAGGACTTTTTCAGGATAGATGAAGGGAAGGGAGGAAGTGGGCTGCAGCATGGATGTGATTTCCATTTGAAAAGGTAACTCTGATCTCTGTTATATCTCTGGTGTGCATCTGGAAGGACCCCAATGGATCCAGTCCAACAGCTCTGCACAGACAGTTGGACTTATCTCCACAAAACCTGTCACTTAGAGGGATGTGAATCAGGGGTTGAAGTCAGGGCAGCTCTGCCAGCTTTATAAGGAGCAAGCAGGAGGAGACTGGGACTCAGAGTCAGGATTTTAGTCCATGGCTTTGCAACTGTGGTTTCCCAGTTCAGTAATTTCTGCAATGTTTTCAGGCTCATGCTGGCTTCTCCCCACCCCCAGAACAATGCTTGCTGATTTTTAAAAAGTAACCAAGAGACACTCAGCTAGAGTCTGTCTAAATGTCTTGCATGCTAAACAGCTTCTCTAACTCAAAGAAAGGGTTTTTTTTGTTGTTTTTTTCTTCTTTTTCCTTCTATGAGACATTTCCCCCTACCTACAAGACACAAGGACTGTTTGGAGTCTGTCTATATGTCTTGCATGCTAAACAGCTTCTCTTAACTCAAAGAAAGGGTTTTTTTGTTGTTGTTTTTTTTCTTCTTTTTCCTTCTATGAGACATTTCCCCCTACCTACAAGACACAAGGACTGTTTGGACTCCTAAGAGAAATTAATACATTTAGGACCAGTGTCGTAATCATAATTATAACACAACAGGGGGTTCTGGCTTGTTTTTCATGGAAACAAATGATTTAATTTGTCTTAATGTCAAAATAGAACATTGGGTCAAAGCACTAGCAACCCCAGTGGAGAAAAGGCTTTATGTGCTTTCCAACTAGAGCACGAAAGAACAAGGATGAAGAAAATCTGATAAAGCAGTGAGTCTTGTGCAAACTTTGGATCCAGGTCAGTCTAGTATAAGATGAAATTAAAATCTAAGCCTAAAACTTGGAAATGAGACTTAATGGGACATAACCTCTTTCACACGGATCAAGGTTTTCAAGGAATCACTGCTGGATTTTCCAAATTTTGTTGTCTCCCTCATTTCCAGCAGCTTTCCAAACATTTCACCACTTTCAAACACAGCTGTCATGAAAAACGTTGCTGTTTGTGTCTTCAAGGTGTGCACACATGTCCACTGCTACGAGCTCTGTCTGTGCAGACCAGCCAATCTACTGAGGAGCGAGATGTTCAGGACCATCTTTGACAGCAGCCTTTCCTCTAGCTCTTTAGCAAAGGATATAGGATAGCTGCAGGATTTTTCTCTACTGAATGACACCATTTGGGTGGAATCTACTCAGTGGAGTTCTAAAATTATTCCATTCCCTCGTTTTTTTTCATAGAGAAGATAGGATGTGGACTTCTGCCTCACCTCTACTCATCTCTCCTACTAGATTTGTAGAAAAAACACTCCAAGTAAATCAAAGCTCAGCAACATCTTGTGCATATTTCACTCATAACATCAGAGGTGTCTGTAATAATTTCTAAAACTGAGTTCATCACCTTCATCTTCTATGGAGAGAAGACAACCAGAGGTGGGATTCACTTGACAGCTCTTTTAAGATGAGATAAATTATATCCTGAACTCCACTAATTTAACTGAACAGGGTGAGAGGGCCACTGGGTCATCTGCATGTTTAACATCATCTTTACATGCCCACATCTTCTTTTATGAACTTACCAGTGCAATCAGGACATAAACATTGAACTATGGGTACTTATGCAGGAAAGTACTCTAGGCTGAACACTCAACTTCAAATGCTTTCACACACAAATCAGTGTCAGAAATGGAAGAAGTTAGCCACGTCCTCTGATCACTGTATTTCTGTTTCATCCTGGCCACCATGCTGAACACACCTCAAATAATTTCCCATGCCATGGTACCTACCCAGTATCATCAAAGTGAAGTCTCAGCACTGCCCAGACAGTGACACAAATTGTGGGGGTACCTGCAGAAGATCAGATGGTGATATCATTAGCAGTCTAGACACATTTAATACTCAACAACGAGCACTTTTTCCAACCTCTCCACTGAGGTTTTATTTCCTAATAGCACTCGTGCACGAAACAATGCAATTCAGTACATTAAGAGCTCTAGAAACATCTATCAAGGGATGGGTTCATCTTGGAGCAAAACTGATCACAGGAAAAAATGATGTTTCAGGTCTTGCTTGCCCAAAGTCGTTGTACTGCATCTCTTGCACGAGCAGCAGAATATAGTCTGTACAAAACAAAAGCAGTGACATCAGCTTCCGTGCCTAGTGCTCCTGTAATTAGGCAATTATTGCAGACTGGCAGATGTTGAGCTGTAATGACATTATTGTATCCTTATGTGGTTTGTTGTGAATTATTAGTATATATTGTATTTTCTCTGTTAGAGTGTAAATAACTGATTTTGCTTTACATATTCAACCAAAGCAAATCAGTAGAGGTTAGTTTTCCTTTACTCCCATGAATATTTTATTTATTTTTCATTAAAAAATGCAACCCAAAGCCCCAAAGCCAAATATTGAATTTCATTTCTGTTTCAGACCTCTCTTCACTCTTTAAAAAAATGCATATAAAATACAAATTAAATTAAAACAGTAAGAACCCACTGAGAAATCTAGATTTCTGTTCCTTTCTGAAACCAGTAAAAGTGCAGCTTTTCAGTGGAAATGGTGTTATAAAATAATTCAGTCCTGCAAGGCAACTCTGGGTAAGTTGGAGATACATTTTATAGCATATAAAATCTTTGACTAGGAAACTGCCTATGTCTATTTAGGCATCATTGGAAAGATAAAGTGCCAACGAGCAAACAAAACAAGGGCTTTGGTAACCCCAGCTCATGGTGGTGAGCAAGACTGTTGTAAGCTGACAGGAATAATTATGTTTCATATATTTTGCAAAGCTGTGTTGGTGTCATATTAATTAGTCATTCGACTGAATCCACTTAAGTGAGTCTCTGTCAAATTTTGTGTTCCCACTATCAGGAGTAAAAATATCCCTGTTAGACCTAGTTGACTGATGGAGCCTTCCTCCTTTAAAAAAGCACAGAGAGAAATATTTGAAAGGAAAATTATAATAAGAAATAAAATGACAGGCTTTGGGGAGAAGAAATCATGCATATTTAATTTAACTTGAAGTCTGCTTTTCTCACATGAGAATATCTAGAAAACTTTGAGATCTTGATGCACTTAGGACGCACAATAATAAAAATAATCTTTAAATATTCAACATCACGTGCTGTCTAGTTTGTCCTGATTTGCACTATATACATTTTCATGGTATGAATAGTGTTCCAAGCCTGAAACTTTGGCAGGAAGGTAGAATTAACCTAAATGTGTCATAAAAATAGAGTTTAAAAAGCACATTTCAGATCAGCTTACAGTTTCAAACCATCTGCTATATGATTGTACATAGACTCACACTACCTTTCTTTACATAAAAATATATATATATCCTCATCATCTTCTTTGCAGCTTCTGAGTAATGTTAGAAAACAGACAAGCCCCAAAGGCTGAGAAGAGAGCTACTCCTGCTGACCATGTCTCTGCCCTGAGTAAGGACAGGCATTGAGAGGTCTCAGGAAGACAGCAGTCTATCCAGAGAACCTACCAGCACACTGCATATTTAAGAAGGGAAGAAAAAAAATGCCAGTATCAACACAACCATATGGTGTTCTCATTAATCAAGTGAGGATGCTGATGTGCTCAGCACATTTTAAGAAACAGATAAACATCCAGATGCTGCAAAAAGGCTGAGCTCTTGCTTATCGCTGCTTCAGAACAGTTCCCTCCTCATCAGCTCAGAGCTGAGGGGCTGATTTTGGGCCATTCAACTCACACCAAGAGTTTGGAAGCATTTCTATTTTTTGCAAAGTGCTAATTGTTCTTACCAGGTATGGGGAACTGCTTTCAAGTTGAAATATGTAGGAGCTGAGAGAATATTGTGTTTAAAAAAGGCAAAACCAAACCATCCTCAATTGGAGATTCTTTTGTTAATGGATATTATTGATACTGAACTGCTAGATTTTCTTGATGATATTTATCTGAAAACCAAATATTCTGAAGCTGCAATAAAGAATCAATCCTTCTGGGTAGTTCTTTCATTATAAAGACTGATTTATAAAAAAAAAAAAAAATTAGTTAATTCACTATGTTGCATTATTCTCACATTCAGACAAAACTACAGATATGAAATCTGTGCAAACATAAAGGAAATGGACTTCTGATTTATGTTTAGATTGCAAAGATTGAAATAAGCAATACACCTTGTTTTCTTTTATAATTGTCACGTTTTCATGTACATAACCCTCAAGATTTCTTTTAAAACCATCTTATATCTAAGCTATAACTTATATCTCAGGTATAACACCTCTGTGGGTAGTACAAGGGACATTTTGAACATAGCTCATTTCCAGTCTCTTGTTCTTTTCTTTCTTCTCTATACCTTTGCTCCTATTGTAGGGAGACTCTTCCAGGAGAGAAGAATTTTTGTGTGCATACAGCTGTCTCAGGAGGGAAAAAATAAACCAACTGATTTGGAATAGTTGGAAGTTCAGATTACACAAGGATTATTTTTCAGAGGAGAACAGTTAAAGGCATATGGTTTGTATGTAGAATTTATACATAGATATATAGGATTTTTTTTTTTTGAGATTATTTCAGAAGATCGTTTGTTTAAGCAGAAAAATTGAGCTTAATTTTCTTTGTATCTAAAATTAATGTATTATTTTGCATTCGCCATCTAAATACTGTGCAAAAATGTTCTGCAAAGAACTGTTTGAATTATCATGTTGCAGGAACCAATTTATCTTCAAGAGGTCAGCATGAAAAATAATTACACTGGTTATTATCATACAGGTGGCCTTCCTGAAACAAATCTGGTTCCTTCCCATTGCAAGTTTCCATTTCCCACTCAGGTATGATGAGCATATGTGGATAACCTTTGGATGCACTTTCAATCTAGCTATTATCTGGAAGGAAAACAGAAATTAAGTCTTAGAAAATGCACTAGACTTAGCATTGTAGGTTTGATTAAGGTGAAAGACTTGGCATTAAGATCATAGAATGTAGAAGGCAATTCTCAGTTGTAGATTACATCTCTGCAAGAGACGTGGTGTCCTCCAGATTTCAGATCAGCACTATTCAGACAACAAAGCCCTCCATGGTATGGTCTGCAATGGCACTTCTATACAAAGACTAGCACTTTGAAACCACATATGGAAATATTAGATGAGTTTTGGGATCATCTTGCACACCAAGATATATTTTAGATAAGAAATGTCACATACCCCAGCCAATAATAGTGTACCAGTAGAAATATCTCCTCTCTGGGAAAAAGGTTTCTACTAATAGAGTGAAAAGGTACAATCCTTCAATGAAAAGCCAGAAGTAGTTGGACATGACACAGTAGTGAAAAAACACCATCACTGCTTTGCATTCCACCTGCAGAGAATCAAGAGAAACAAAGTTATTTCCACGTTGTTCCAGCCTAACAGACAGAGAAAATGCTTTCAACCTATCCAAATCTCTTAGTGGAAAAGAACACAGCTGGGACTAACACTCTACACCTATAAAAGGAAAGTTTTAAAAGCATGAGGTGAATGTGAAGTGTCACTTAGAGAAGTTTGAAAGGGCAGGTAGACAATATTACCAGTGGGAGATGGGCAATGAAAATCTGTAGACAGCTTGAGAACATCTTGTGATAGTGGGACATTCATCATCAATGAATTTTTTGTTAGGTTTAAACCCCCTTCCAAGGATTAAGTGGAAAAAAAAAAAATCTAGTTGTGTATTGAGAAACCTAAAGAAGGACATGAAATGGCAAGATGATTGTAGAAAGCCCTGAGAGTGGGATCAGAAAGGGTGCACCCTCCTGCGTGCAGCTGAGAGTTGCACTTCCCTGCCTTTTGCTGATGTTGTCACTCAGGGACAGAAAATGGAAATAAGCATAAGTGTAAAGAAAGCAGAGTGATTTACTGAGAAAAAAATGATAGAAGCTTTCATTCATTTATTGGGGGAAAAAGCAGTGGATAGAAGGGAAAAAAAACTCCAAAAGCTTTCAGTGGAAAACAGCCTCTACATGACACCATCGACAGCAGGTACACACTTGTCTTCCCAGTGCTGTATCCCAGTGAGAAATCATTAGTCCTACAAAAGTAGGACTTCAACACATCAGAAGAGAATTGGTGTATAAACTGGAACCTCCTGCCTGGGACAGCAGGAGGCTGACAATTTAGACTGGTTCCAAATGGTACTCCATCCTCTGGGACAACTCTACAATCAATATGTTTCAACCATCAGAACATTAGTTTCTCCACGGAAGCTCTACCAGTTTATGTTGGCTGAAGATCTGGTCATTAGATGGGTGATTTTTATGGGTTTTATGCTTCACGTGTTTCCAAATGAAGAGGCAGATGCCACCATTAGAAGAGTGATATAACCAAACTACAGATCAAACATGGCTTCAGCTTTATCACGGAGAAGAATTAAAAGCAAAAATTACTTTCAATGACAAAGAAAAGGCTGACTAAAAAATTATACAGCTGCACTTCCCTTGTGGAAGTGACTCATAAGGAATTTAGCTCTTAACTGGATGGATAAAGGAGATCTCAGTTTGGGAACTCACTATAATTCCATCATAACTGTGACCAATGAGCTGATTTATCACATTAAATTCTAGCTTTAAATGTGAAAGGAATTGGGATTTACATGTAATTTGTAGCTAAGTGAGTCTGTGAAAGAGGCTGCTTTCCATGGAACCACACACCTCAGTGACAGACACCTGGCTAATACTGATGGGCTTTTGAGTGTGGCCATGGAGGTATTTTCTATGTCTGAATGGTCACCCTGTTTACACATGTCTCTGCCTGACTACCAGAATAATTGAGGCTCTAGAGGGAAAAAAAAAAGCTTTCAGATAAAGGAAATTGCTTGTGCCTACTCTTGTCTCACATATCACCGTGCAGATCTGTGAAAGGGAGGAACAATTTGAGTATCTGAAACCAAAATCTGTAGAGTTGTCCTGAAGGACAGACTGCTGGACATAGATGACATCATGAGATGATAGCATCCACAGTTTTGCTGTGAATTGGGGTGGAAGTTTACCATGACTTGCCTTCTCTTGCAATAGCTTACCCAACAGACTGCTGCCTGCCTCACTATCTTTTAGGAAAAGGTTTTGGCTTTGCTTTTACTTACTGTTGAGATAAAACAGTGGTTGCCATCCTGCTCAGCATAAAGAACCCCATCTTTAATGAACACAGATATTGCACGGAGGATGAATGAAACAAAGAGGTTCATGTGGATAAAATTCCGAGTGCAGTGCAGCTTCCTAGAGAGGAAAGAGCAAAGGAGAGTAAAAGAAAAAAGCAAAAAAACAGAAAGCACTTTTCTTTCATATGAAAATACTTTTCTTTCTCATGTGAGCGTGGATAGTACTGACCCTAAACCTGACCAAGAGAAGGATTTGGAGATTTTCCTGTCAAAGCATGCAGGGTAGGTAAAGTAACTCCCATCTAATAGAGCTTCTGCAGTTGCATAAAACAGACCCACATCTTCTGTAGCTGGGTTTAGAGTCTGCTGAAACGTGACTACAGGATTGTGGTCAAGCTGGAGGAACAACTCCATTAAAGGAGTGTCTCCTTTTGATTCTATATCTGGTGAGATAAAAGCTTAAACATTGTTTTAGGCAGATGAGCTCCAGGTTCTCTCCTCCAGTGACTGAGCAGCTCACTGCTTATGCCCTGACTCACCTGAACCGACAGAGGATAACCATGGCAGTGGTGAGGGAAACCAGAGAGGTGCTGTATCCCACCGTGTACAGAGCCTTCACAGACAGGTAGTAGTAATCCTTGGGAGGCAAATATTCCACGATTAAACAGCTCATCAACGCTCAGGTCTTTACCCTGTCCACATGCAAGGGGAGCCACAGGCTGACCCATGCTTCTAGAAGTTAAAAGCTGTATCAACAGTAAACACTCCTATTCTGGAAATGTTCAGTGCAGGGCTAGGAAGGATTTCAATCTCCCTCGTCACATTTATATGCCCATAAATTACCTGTTTCATCCTAATCAATGACAAATCAGGACATGACCAGAGGCTGGACAAAACGCAGCCTGCTGCTCCCCCCTCCCCTTCATTTGTTTTCAATTATAAGATTAATTCCCACCTGGTTTTCAGACTCTGTTTCATTCTCATCAAAGCCACAGGCATCATAATAATGTGGAAAAGGTTCAGACCAGCCATCTTCAGTGCAATTTCTGCTGATGTCCCCTGTGCCAAACACAGTTGGAAATGTGACACTGTTGAAGCAAACCCCAGGACATGCCCACCCTCCCCTTGGTACATGGCCAAAGAAAACCCCATCCTACTACTTGGGTTACAGTTTATCTGGCTCTCCACAGAAGACTTTGATGGCATCTTGAAAGTTTAATGACATCTTTAATGACCAGGTCCTACAATAAGCACCTACAGTTGTCTATTCCTACTCACCAGAGAGCAATAAAGATTTAATCAGTATACTCAGTGCTTCCTGGCCACCAAAGTTCTTCATTCTCAAGTGCGTGCCTAAACCAGGGGTCAGCTAAATTTCCATTTCTCTCCATTGACTCCAACAGACATCTAGGGAATAGTGCTTTGATGTCAATATCTACAGTTCAGATGGCTAAAGAGTAAGTCCAGTGCTTAAATATTAACACTTTGTGCTCTTTAATATGATCTACATCTGCAACACATGCATGGGACTGCCAAGACAACACAAGACAAACAAGATTTTTTTTGAGTGGCTGCTGGAAACCAAGCAGGATACTATGGGATAACTAAAATAATTGTTATATGTCCATGGTGAGGAATCTGGATTGCTCTCCTACAGTCAGAGAATTCATTTATCTTAAAGCCTAGGCTCTGATCTGAGACTGACTTCATGAGAAAGCTCTGTGGGAAAACAAAGGAAAGGTGGAGTGGGAATCTCTCCCCTGTCTCTGTCTTCAGAGCACTGTTAATCTGCATCTCCACACGCCCAGTGTGGCTTCAGCTGACAATTTCAAACCTGTTTCAGAACATCTCACATTCCTCTGCCTATCATTTGTTCCAACCCCAGTTTATAACCTTCCTCTAAAACAAGTGTTTGCAAGGAGGCTCAGAACTGGCTCAGAGAAAATCTCATTCTCCTCTCTTTTTATTCTAATGGTTTGGGCGACCTCATAAGGACTAGCTCCTAAGTGGCTTTCACTGACACAGTCAAAAGGTTTAAAGCTGTACTGGGAACCAAGAAATGGGTGTGGAAGAGGAAAGAGAAGAGGAAAATGTCTCTTATCACTCATTTTGCCACTGAGGCTGCCTAAGGCGAGATGCCCCCCGTGATGTTCTCTTTAAGCACCTTTATTCTTGCCAGAGCTCAGTGACCTCCTTGAAAAATTAGAACTGAGCTGCTGGCTGTACTTACTCCTCTCCAGCACAACAGAACAACTTCCATTTACCTAACTGTTACAGTTTTTGGAGTTTGAGCTATGCCTTGACCAAAATCAATGGAAATTTCCAAGGGTTTTAATTATTTTTTTTTATTAGAGTTCTGCTGCTTTGCATTCTTAGAGCAGTTTAGTCAAGTAGCTCACAGCACTAGCAGTGACCTTATTTTTAGAGGATCTGTTTGCCATCCATGCAGCAGAATAAGACTGTTTAATCACAACACTCATTTAAGAACATTGCATTACTTGGCAAATTTTGGTAAATTACTCTTGTGCATTCATCCTTAGTTTTGTATGGAAAAGAACCACTGAATCATGGCATTGACTTTCCTTAACACCATTTACTAATTACTGTTAGGCAGGTAGATGTAATTTGTAACAACATACTCGTTATTGCAAGGTTTAACAGTGGAGGAATAAATTTTCATAATAATGCTAAAAGAAACGCTCCAGAAAATGTGTCACCATAATTAAAACTGATTAGAAATAAGACCTAAAATGAAGGAGAAAAACCTTGGAGCTTCTTTTTTAACAGTTCCAAAAAAAAAGAGAGAAACATTCCATGGTTCCATTTCTTACCTAGAGGAGACTGGGCTGTGCTTTCCAGTAGGTCATAATCACCTATAAAAGCAGAAATTTGGCATGAAACTATTTTGATTGTGTTTTCTACTAGGACCTGACTTGGTCTCTGTGGAAATTAGTGAATAAAAGCCAATTGATTGTTATTTGTTTGGATCAGGCCCAAAGGCAATAAAAACTGGATTTTGCTTTTTCAGGAGGTAATCACAATTTTACTTGTGAGTTTAAATCAAAGCTGAACTTAAAAATTAAACAATTGTTAGGGCAAGCAGCCAACATGTCACTAAAGACACGTGGAATCAAGCTGGGATCAATTTTATTATGAAAATATAAAAGGAAATTCACATTTGTAATCCACAGAGAATCAACTATGGTCAGTTCTCACAGAATTCTTGAAAATAATACCCATCCATCAATGACAATAAGCAATAGTTAATTGGTTTTAAGTAAGACAGTTTTATTTCATGGTTTTAGGTTAGATCACGCTGATTTCTAGAACCTCATCAGATTTTTACTTTCACTTTTTATCAGTGTTAAAGCAGCCAGCATGTCACTGAAGACACGTGGAATCAAGCTGGGATCAGTTTTATTATGAAAATATAAAAGGCAGATATTATTTCTTTAGAAATTCACATTTGTAATCCACAGAGAATCAACTATGGTCAGTTCTCACAGAATTCTTGAAAATAATACCCATCCATCAATGACAATAAGCAATAGTTAATTGGTTTTAAGTAAGACAGTTTTATTTCATGGTTTTAGGTTAGATCACGCTGATTTCTAGAAACTCATCAGATTTTTACTTTCACTTTTTATCAGTGTTACAACAAACCACAAACATTCATTCCCATCATGGTTGATAGACAAACAACTTTACAATAATCTGAGAGTATCATGTGCTCTATGTAAAATTTTTGAAAGGCAGAGGTAGTCAGCACAATTGTTTCTTACCTGCATGGGTTTGCCCCAAATTATCTACTTCCCAACCTGAAATTAGAAGAATAAAAAGAATTAATTTGACCTTGAGAATAATTTGAAATTTGATTTTGAAAATAGATTGCTTCTTGTAAGAGGAGTGTATAGAGCAGTGCCCAGATAAGAACTGTAAGAAAATTTTGTTTAAATCCTTTATTCCAAATCAGTACTGTTCATTTCTGGCCAGAAAGTGGTTTTCAGAAGATTGATGATTGCATTTTATTGTTAAATCTCTGTTTATCATGGAGTTTCATCACAGTTGAGGAAGGATATGAGACGGAGATGGAGGAGAGTTTGTTGTGAGTTTTTCTTTTTGTTTTTCTTTTTAGAGGGAGGAAGGGTTGTGAAATAAGAAAGACTCACACATTTCCAAAATATGCCAATATCCACTTTCATTTCTATATTAAAAATACAGACTGTTACCATAGAAAATCATAAAAGTTTGACTTTATGTTAAAAAAAATTTTCCTTCTGCTTTCTTTCACCCTTCCAAAAGAAAATATTGTGATTCTGTCAAACCCATCTCCCACCTGTCGTACTGAGAACTCAACCCAAATTGCAGTGGAATCAAGACTTTCCTGAATCCTCTGTGGATTTCTGGCTCGAGCTCAGTGTTGAAGGATGCACAAAAAGGAGCTGCCTTAAGCCACGGAGTGGTGCTGCTGCATCGTGCACAGAGAGATACTGAGGAGTTGGACAAAGCTGTCTGCAAATAGCTCTGCCAGTAGCCCACTGACCAGCAAAATAATGTTTCCAACATTCCATAGATGCCTACAGCAGGTTAAATGTTTAGATTAGCTTAGTTCTGTATCCCTTGGATTAACTACAGACTTTCAGGTTATTTTTTTTTTAACCCTGAGCATGTGGTCAAGTCTTAAGAAAGGATTGGAAAAGCCTATTTATGTGAGAGGGTTTTTATTAAAGGAAACAAAATCATAAAGGGAATCATTTCAGCAAAGAATAAAATGCATTTTATAGTTTATGCTTTTTCAAATTCCTTATCGTGTAATAATTTTATAATCATGGATTTCTCTCCTTCATCACATGAGCTATTTGATATTCTAAGACAAGGCAAGTGGAACCAACCTCAGTTTGTGCTGGTGGAGGTTTCAGTTGGATATTAAGACAAATTTATTCACCAAAAGTGTTGTTAAGCCCTGGAACAAGCTGCCCAGGGCAGTGGTGGAGTCCCCATCCCTGGAGAGATTTAAAAGCCATGGAGATGTGGTGCTGAGGGACATGGGTTAGTGGTCACCTGGCAGTGCCCGGGTTAATGGTTGGATTTGATGACCTTGATCTTTTCCAACCTAAACAATTCTATGATTCTAAGGTAGAAAACAGAGGATTTAATGTGGAGATGATAGTGGGACTCTAGAAAATGAAGCTGAAGCATCAGACAGTCTGAATTGTGCCTTTGAATGGAAGTTTTCTAAATCAAACCTATACCTTCAACCCAGCAGTTACTTTGGAGGGTTAATACTGGAAGCTGTGACAAGACCACCCTGGCTCTCTTGATTTCTCTGCCCAATTCCAGCTGCTTTGAAGATTTCATGTATGAGAATCCTTGGATGTCTGCAAATACAAGTCTACCAATTCTAAAGAGAACTCACCAGTGCTCTGAGAAAACGTTTTCCAGCAAAGATCATTCAACCTGCTGCATCAGACCAATTTACCAGATGCTGCAGAAGCACTAGGGCTGTGCTCCAGAGGCTTGGCAGAATAACAGGGGTAACTCTGCAGAATATTTTGGACAGACATGGTTCCCTCTGAAGTCTACCAAACCCCACGTTTATTAACAGTGGTATATCTCAGATATAGATACCTGTGTTGCTAAAATCTGAATTCAGAATATCAACTTTAGGATATCCCCTGGGAATTTTTGTCTGTGGTTTTATTGGGCAATTAGAGGAACAAAGAGCAAGCCACTGTTCTTTTATCACTGTCTTTTCCAGTGTCTTTCATAGCCTGCTGCCACTCAAATCAGTAGCCCATAATGGAAATGATTTCTTACACGAGCTCACCTCACTCAGTAGCTTGTATATTACAACGACCCACAGAGGAAGGGTAAGAAGAAGCTGCTAAAAAACATCAAAAAACCCTCTTTGATCTACAAAAACCCAGTGTCAGTTATGAGTTGTGATATTACAACCTGCCCAGAATTGTTGTTGGAGAAAGACCAGAGCAATATTAAGTAGATGAAGCCTGATGTTCCTGGCATGTTACACTGATAGATCAGAAAAATACCTTTTCTGAATTATAAATGGTTTATATTTAGATATTTTATTCCTATAATCTAAAAAGGAATAAAAATTACCATTATTTCACTCTAAATATGGGTGGTAGGTGGCCACACTCATGTTAAAATATTACATTTTAGTTCATTTTAAATGTCATGACATCAGTAACAACAGTTAAAAGATTGTACTAATGTAGGTTTGTAAAATTAAGAGGCTTTTTATATTAATATTTTTTAATATATAAAAATTATTATAGTGTACTAACTGTGTTTGGACGTTACGACAGGATTTACATTTTTTACAATATTAATTTTCTGATTGCTGTAGGAGAAAACTTGCTTTTAATTAACGTGTTTTTCTACATCTGAGTCCTTACTAATGTACACAAGAAAGTTCCAACGCAATCTTTTACCATCCAGGCTTTTAGGCTGGACCCATCAACCTAATTTTCACTAATAAGCTAAGCTACTGGGAAGTCAATTAGATTTATACTGAACATGCTGTCCTGAATTACAGATAAAAGTCAGAGTGCATCTAATGAGTGTTGGGATAATATACACACATATACAATTATATTTGCATATGTATGCATATATATATATGTTTAAGCACACAAGGAGGGAACATACAGCCACCATCTGGCTTTAAATTCCTTCATGCTGCTGCCCTTCTGAAACCATATGTTTATGTAGCCTGCACCAGAATATGGATGTTTATAGGATACATCAAAGTGGCACTGGCTCTGTTTACTCACGTGTAAGAGAGTGTGATGGAATTCATTTAGATTATATCTCTGCTCAACATTTAATGTCTCCATATATAGTGAAAGTCCTGAGCTTGCATTTGAGCTGGGCTTGTAGGAAGACCAAATGTAGAGCAGACCCTCTCAAACTATTCCCCTGGAACTGTGTTTCTGTGGGGCTTTTTTTTTTTACCTGAAGGTTTTTCTGACTCTAAAGAGACCTCAGCAAGTTTCCTCTGGTGTCAGGGATATAATGGGCACTCCACTGCATGGACTTCCACACAAACCCTCTCATTGCCTTACTCTTAGGACATAAACAATGAGAATCTGGAGCATTAGACTTCAGTGCAGAAGCAGAGAAAGCCCATCAAGATATTGCAAGAGGCTAGAGGAAAGAAATTACTCTCCCAGAAATAAAGAGTAAATAAAATAAGCTTTTCTTCTGCATTTTGACTGCAAATACATTTTTTTTCAGGGGGTTAATTTGAGGATTACACTCATGAGTTACATGAATGACAGTTGTGTTCCTTACATGTAGTTATACAACAGCACAGCCCAAACTATGGAAAGGTGGAGCAAAGAGCAGCTATTAATGTCTTAGAACACCACTTATTAAATCAATAATTGCTCACCTTAGTCAATAAACTCTTAAAGAAGCTAATGTTGTCTTTGAAGGATGGATTACCCAGTATAGTGAATAGTGAGAACACAGTTCTCTGTCAATATTTCATCAGACTGAACAGGTAGGTGTCACTTTTTGGGAAGTAAAGCAAATCTTCCATTAGTGCTTTAATTGGCATTATTAATTAGATGTTATTTGCAGTACTACTAAACACCCTAGAGAAGATCCATCAGAACGCTAGATTGTCAGTTCCAAAGATCAAAAAGATAAATCAAACACAGAAATTATTGCTTATTTCCTCTTTTCTATGTGAAGAGGTGAAAGAGGAAAAAGAAAACCAAACCAAACCAAAGCCCAGCAGTCAAAGGACCTGCCAAGAGCTTCTCGTGCAGTTAGTGGCAGAGACCCAGATCTTCCATGACCTCTTCTTCCACATTTATCAGTATTTCTTCCTCTATTTTCATTTGCTGACTCCCCAAACCCATAACTACCTCCTTCCTCACTATCCTCCAACAGCTCAGAATTTTGACGCAAGCAATTGTTGCTTTGATTTAAAGTGAGCAGGACTGGCAAAGCTGAAGCCAAGAAACAGTCTGTGTACGATGAGTCTCCGAGCTCAGCTCAGCCTTTTAGATCTTCCCCTCCGTGCCAAATTTGCGCTGGCTGCTTTTGGTGTCAGCTGGCATGGCAACTGCTTTATCTCCCATAGATTTGTTTATCTGAGCACAACTTGCATTTAACCCTTTTATTCCAGCGTTTATCCCTTATTAGTGGCAAGGGAGGCAGGGAAGGAATGAAAGGCTTCCAAAAGTATTCCATCCTGAAATAGCTTTGCCCACACTTTTCCCTCATTCCTGTTGTTCCTGTCTTTGTATCATGGGTTGGAGGAGTGGTCCATAGAAGTAATCATCCAAAAGGTTGATTTTCAACAGCATTGAGATTAACGTGCACATCTCACACTGTTTTTACAGCCTGTTATTTCTGTCCCTTTGGAAAGCGCAGAGACTGGGGCAGAGAGAGGTTATGGAAAAGATTTCCTACAATCACTTGTGATCGTGTTGTCCATCTCTGTGGATAATAAACTGTTCAGGCAGGAATTGAATTTTTTTTTTCTGTTTTTATATAGCCCTGATCAGAAGCTTAAGATTGAATTTCTCTATACAAAATAAATCAAGGAGCTCTCACGCCCGGCTCCACAGCATCCACCACGCTGTGCCTGTGCTCTCCCTTGCCTACTGCTGCATGCTGCTCTGAGGGACCAGCAATCTGTTCAGCCGGCTGGCAAAGCCACAGTCAGGAACAGCAGTCTACTTAGCAGCTTTTCTGGGGCTTTCTGAGCTCCCCACGCAGATATCTCTTGCACCCTCTGTCCAGTCCTGGCCCTGGGCACAGCCGATCCCACAGGCACACTTCAACCACCCCAGATCTTTCATTATGGCTTTGTTTTCTTTGTGTGTATATGTGTGGAAAGGATTCAGAATCAGCTTCTAGATCTTTACAATCTCATCAACAGGATCTGCAGAAGGTGTCAGCCAGCTACATGGCCTTACAGATGCCCACACCTTTTGCCATACTAAGTGTTTCCCTCTATTTCCAGGGGGTTTGCCTCAAGCCCCATAGACAATTCTTTAAACTACAAATTGAAAGTCATTATTCCTTTGGTATTTACTATATATTGCCATTTGCTTCCCAAAGGATTTGAGAATATAGTGCACACACATACACCAATTTATACATACACCATATACACAATACCAAATAAAGTGGTATTGTCCATTGTATTTAGAAAACAAGGAAGCTGAGACAGAGGAAAATTAAGGGTAAGATTAGGAAGCCTGTTTCATTTTTTCATATTTGAAGAAGAACTGATGCCTAAGAACATCTGAGGAATTGATCCTGTGGGGCAAACTCATCCCATCCTATTTACCTACCCAACCATAAATTGATTTGGATTTTAAGTCTCCCATACAGGGCTAAGAGACTGGCACTTCCAGAAGATCTGTTTTAGACATCTACCCTAGGATGGGATGAACTAGATGCTGCAGTTTCTTTATTACCCAGTGGGTTGTGCAAAACATTGCAGTAAAGATGGTGGTGGAACTGATACAAGTCAGCCCTTCCTATCTCCCATACTAATTTCAGGGCACATGGGTTTATCACATAGAGACAAGAAGACCCAAAGCATCATGCCTGGAGATCACAGAAATACACCTGCAAGGTCCCAGAGGCTGGTTGAGGCAGGACTGATGAACAGATGTGATCACTAACATGTAAGGGAAATTATCACTTTCTTCTTTTCTTCCTCTTTCCCATCAAAGGCTATGAAACCAGTGCTGGACTGAGGTCACCATAGCAACTACTAAGCATCATCTAAATATTATCTGTATCCTTTCTACAAGGCTGAGCTTTCACAGTAGCATCCATCAGAGTGGAAGATCAATGCAAATACTATTGAAGGGTCTCAGAGATCCAAAGAAGACAGGGATCATATTTCTGAGAAAAGCAAATGTTTTTCAAACAAGAAACACAGAAAATAAGAAGCTCTGTCCAATGTTGCTTTATGAAATAAGCCCGGGAGAAGAAACCATATTAAATCACTCTCTTAAAGGCAAGAATGAATGTGTGTCCACCACAGCTAACATCTTGCAGTGAACAGGAACTCCTTTGAGTTGAGTCAAGAGGAGAAACAAGATTAGAGCAAGGACTATAGCAGCAAGGACTGCTAGTAAAGGTTGAAGCATCTGCTTGTGTTGCACCTACAGGGATATTTAAATGTGTTACCTTTTGCTCTCCATACGTTCTCCAAACTACTCAGTGGTCCCACTATGTTCTACCCTTGCATGCTTCCCAGAGGAGCATGTGTTGGGGTTTTTTTTGTGTGTGTGTCTTTTTTTTCCCCCTCCATTTTCCAAGGCCAAATTAGTTTTCAGATTATATTGACAAAGGTTTTGAGCTATCTTACAGCTTTCCCTTGGCTACTGCAAGATGTCACCTTGCAAAGGACCAAGGACTTTATCTTTCACTGAAATGCTTTTAGTCATGTTATATGCTTCAGTATCAGAAGCATAGAGTCCTACATCCCTGTAATTTGGTGGGAAAGGCTGCAAAATGTCCTTTCCCTGTGAAAAAGCACCTATGGGACCTTAACTACTTGATT